AAAAAAAAAAACCTAAATTGAGTACTCAATTAACAGTTCTATCTAGTAAGGGCTAAAGTTCAATAGTAATTGGGTTCTTCAAACAAAGCTCAGTTCCCTCATAAGTTAATGAATTATTGTCTCTTAATTAGCATAACCTAAAGTGAAAAATAATCATTTAAATTTATATCATTTGAAGAATAAAAATTGACTATACTTCTTATAATCATTGGTGAGAGAGTGGGTCTTTATGATATTAGGTAGACCTCATCTATTAATAATTAAAAGTAAATTTTTTTCGATATGAAAAAATAAAAATATTTTTAATAAATCTTATTAAAAATATTTAAGTACTTTCACAACTCAAACTTATGCAATTCAAACTAGAAGGGAAAACGTTTCTATTAAAAATAACGTATGTTTAATAATAATATTGAATTAAAACTCAATTATATTATTTTATTAAGTTTCAACTTTCAAGCCGAACTTAAAAAGGCAGAATACCCAAATCCACCCCCAAAGTATAGTGGCAGGGACGGATCCACTCTCGAACAAAAAACGGGAACAAATCCACCCACAAAGTTTTCGATTTGGACAAATCACCCCAAATTTAACGTGTGACGTCATTTGACATCAACAATTCGTTAATTCGTTAACGGATTGCTGACGTAAGATGACGTTAAATTAACAGATTGCTGATGTCAAATGATGTCACACGTTAAATTTGGAGTGATTTGTCTAAGTCGAAAACTTTGTGGATGGATTTGTCTTCGTTTTTTGTTCGATGGTGAATCCATCCTTACCACTCTATTTTGGGGGTGGATTTGGGTGTTCTGCCAACTTAAAAATTGGGAGGTTTTTAAGTTTTATTGACTAAAAATAAAACTAGCACCACTAATAAAGAAGATAGAGTTTTATTTAGGTTAAAGCCCCTATTTGCACCCTCCATTTATTTTTTTTTCCGTGGTTAACACCTTCCAGAATTTTTCCTCCCTATTCACACCCTCCACTTTTCAAAATCCGTGAAAAACCCAATATTTTAATGGGTCGTCACGGCACCGTTAATAACTGTTAAAAATTGTAATACGTGGCATCAAACAGTAACATAATCTAATGTGGACTTTTTTTTTTTGATGACATGGCATAATTAAATCATAATTAATTTTAATTTTTTTATTTTCTTCTTTCCCACATCATCTTTACCATCTTCCTCTTCATCTTCCTGGGTTCCTCATGGAACCAGGAACCAGGAACCCAGAACTTTGTGTCACATTTATTAATCCAATGTTGGACTTTTTTTTATAATGTGTTATAATTAAATCATCATTAATTTTAATTTCTTCATTTTCTTCTTTCCCGGCATCATCTTCACCATCTTCGTCCTCATCCCCCTAGGTTCCTCGCAAAACCCAGGTTTTGAGTTCTTCATGGAACCTAATTTCACATGAATGCCTACCAAGCTAAGATTTTCATCCACACAATTATAAGTAAATAAATACTGCACAAAAACATAATAAGCATCTTCTACTCATTTCCCACAAAAAACGAAAAAAACTCAAATTGGCAACCTATTCAGAAACAATCTCCAAGCAAAAAAACTCACTTTTTCAACAAAAAAAAATTATTTCAAATTGCTTTGCATAAAATCGGAAACTAAGATAAATACATTCAAAAT